AGTCTTTGGCAAAAAAAAAAGTGGTTTGTTAAGAGGCGGATTTCTTAACAAATTGGTGATAGAGAAAAATCCGGTTTTGTTCTCATCGGGTAGCATTCATCTTTTAAATTATTCGGAAAATGATCTAAATCTTGACAACAATAACGCCTGTACATCTATCTGTGTATTTAGCTTGGACATGAAAGGGAAGTTCTTTTACCTCTTACAAATTTTATTCGAAATATCAATGATCTTTCGTCTCTCGGCAGTTTTTGCCAAAGCACGAGTAACTGAAAAATATGTTATTTCTTACCGATTATTTTTATTGTTCACTTGTTCAAACTTCTCAGTAAAACGTGCTTGTTCTGCAGGTGAAATTGTAACAGCAAAATTAACCCTTGACATATGCACTGAAAGCAAATGTTGTCAGGCAAACAGCAATTTGAAATACTTTTATGAATGCGAGAGCTTGCCCGCAGGATTTTAAATAATTAGTGGGACATCGATTGACTTACATGTACTTTACTCGATCTCAATAACCTCCCGAATACTCAGAATCAAATTCAAATTCCGAATTCGATCAGAACGGGTTCTGAATCAAACAAATTTTGTAATTGAGTTGCAGTTGCCTCGCCAAATTGAATGTAAATACACATTTGGCTGAATCGCGCTCAAACGTGCAAAGTAGCGTTTTAATTTCATGCATCATTGTTATGTAGTAACTAAGGTCACGTTCTTGTCTTATGATGGAAGTTAAATTATTTTATCGATAATTCTGAGCTGAATTTGAATTATTAAACTGCGATGTATATGTAGAATGACTTAATCACAACGAAATAAGGCAAAATAAAGTTTGGCCAAATTTACACTTCTCTTGGTTAAACTCAGTTGAAGTTTCTTCCTTCGTTTAGAGTAACATTATGTGTTCGTTATTTTTGCTAGGTCTTTCGTTAGATCCTGTTGCGATTCTGTCGCGATCCTTTGTAGAAGTAAGCACTCCTTTTTGGCTTCAGTTAACTCTACTTGTAGAGGCATGAATGTTTAAATTATACAAAGTTAGCACTCCCACCGAGAATGATCGGCGCCTTCGAGTGAAAATCGCGCTCACCGCATGTCTGAACTTGGGAAGTCTCCAAGCGTAGATAAACGGGTCGATTAAGAACTTCATAAATAGGGTCGCATCCACAACGATATTTGCCATCGTAGCTTTCACTTGTTCTTCGTTTGTTTTTGGCGTCCAATATAGTGTCAAATACCACATTACCGTTACGGGTGCAATGAAAACCAGTAGACAAGTCGCCAAAAGCAAGCTAACAACCACAAAATGTTTTTGGTCTTTCTTCCGGCGATGTTCCGAAGTATCAGCGATGCGTATTGCGTTATTTTGTGCAGGAACCCAACGAGCAATCTGGCGTTGGTATGAAATGTGCAAGGCGATGTAGGAGACCAGAACGAGGACGTTGATCAGGGAAAGATTAAAAAATACGTCCAGCTTTTGGAAAATTTTCTCGGGCACGCCCATCAGAGGCGTGCTCGAAAACAGCAGCGAATAAGTCCATATCCCGCACATACAAGCGACCACGCGACCAGTTGTGACAAATTGTTTGTGGCGATGCGGGAAGGTTATAGCAACGAACTGGGTCCACGACAAAAACAAAATTGTCAGAAAAGACACGTTCATTGTTATACTGGAAAGAACACCGGCTGCTTTTAAAGTGAAGTTGTATCGTTCGCTGCTGATGGTGTCCTTGTACAGCTCGAAGTAGAAGTAAGCGAACAACGGGTCCACTGCAATACCAGTGAGGAAATCTGCCACTGTTAACCCAATAATGAAGATGCTGGGAGGATGTCGAAAGCTCTTGAACGGATCTTGGTACAGTACTACGAGTAGAACACCATTTGAAACAGTCGTTAAAACTGATAGAACACAAAGGTAAATGGCGGAGAGGAGGCAGATGACGAGAAAACGATTTCTCAGGATTTCTCTCTCTTCGTTTGCGATGTTATTGGCCAGTTCAGATTCGTTAAAAGAGCTATTCATGTTGAAATAAAACAGCTCAGTGTAGCTGTGAAAAACAAAATTGTTGGTTAATGTAAAAGGAAAATCTCTCTCGTAGAGGATGAGAAATACTGCGAACGTGAAAAAATGACAATGATCGAATTTCTAGAGCATGACGATCATTTAAAAGGATTGTGATCGTGCACTGTTGCAAGTCAGATTATTTAAACATGACCCAAATTACACGTCAAGTGAGCGTTTCTTTTCAATTTAAAAGCAAGTCAGTAAATAACATATTGGCAGGCTTTGTTTGTGTATTCCGTCACGTTTTGGCAGTTGAAATTGCGATGACGTCAAAGCCTTATGTCCGTGCAACTTTAGTCACTTTTCAAAAAAATAAATTTCTCAGTTGCTTCTTCATTGTCATAAAGCCCTCACGCCTGAACTTGAATATGCTCTCTAAAAGAGTCAGTTCACCTAATAAGGACTCTTCAGGGCTTAGCGATAAGCGCATTTATGGGGATGGGGGGGGGGGGGGGATTGGGTGGCTAGACACTCCCCATCCCCCCTCTTTTTGGAGAAGTAAGAAAATTTGGATATTATGGGAGAAATAAAGGCAAATACTCTTGAAGGGTAGCTCATTGCAATTTCTACTCTGCAGCATTGCCATATTTCTGGTGTAACAGTTTTCGATATTACGTTTCAATTCTCAAATTGAAGTATTTTGGGGGCATACCGGGCATGTCCCATTAACATTGCAACCCGAAGATACCAGCCACACACCCCCACCCCTCCCCAGAAAAATTCTGGATCCGCCCTTGTGTCCTCTCACCCCCAGGAAAGTAGCACTTGGTCAGGAGGTCAACGTTCAGTTTTCCAGCCATGCTATAGCGTTGAGATTCTCCTTATACTTAACATTAATTTTGTCCATTACAGTTTGAAGCATTTATGTTTTCAATTATTCGTAAAATGATTCAAATTACGACAGCAATAAGACCTAAATTTGTGTGTATTTAGCTTGATCACGAAAGGAAAGTTCATTTATCTCTTACAAACTTTATTTGCAATCACTGATCTTCTTTCGATGTTCGACCGTTTTTGCCAAAGAACGAGGAACTTTTTCAGATTTTTAAAGTTAAAACTTCTATCCGGTTAGTCGTTTTATTGTTCATTTGTTCGAACTTTTCAATTTTCAAGCACCACTCAATGGGGTCATCTATTAGCCGGGCGAAACATTGAGCCGTTCGGTGTAAAAATTGGAAAATTTTAACCGTCAGCCGTAAAAAAATATCATCCGTAAAACATTTTGGCCACGACTATCAAAGTCTCAAGGTCCCATGTCAACACTCTTTTTTTTTATCTTTTCCTGTGGCTTGTAAACTATACTAGTTTCAAATTATTTCTATGATAATACCTTTTTCCATCAAAACATGTTTTGCCGTAATAAATCAAAAAAAACCTTAAACTTTTTCAAACAAAGGAAATTATTTTTTACTTTTTAAAACAATGGTTATTAATTTCGAAGATTTCTGTTACGCGTAAGGAAAATGAATTAACAATTGGTCGTAAAAAAAGCCAAAATATTTACCGTTAGCTGTAAAAGCAACCTACCCATTGAGATCCTCACACATAGTGCCTCAGCGGCATTAAGACGCGCCATAGACTTAACATTTTGACTATACAAGCTTAAGCTCTTTTCATTTGTTCATCTGTTCGTTGTTGTTGGATAAACCGAGATTTAAGATAGGTTTTACGAGGGTTTTTCCCAGAGGACTGGAATTTCAGTGGCCCCGTAAACAAGCCAGTGCTATTCGAGTTTGACCAAATGATCTAGCCAGGTGAAATGACGGCTCTCGTACAATTCGTTTGAGCGTATTTTCGCAAAAAGAAAGGGCAAAGCGTCTCTTTTCGATGTAGCACCTCTCCGACTTTCGCGCCTGCCCAGATGCTTCGCCTACCACTACACCCGGAAACTCCACAAAACGTTCTTTCCGTGGGTTCCGCTATTCGCAGTCCCGCGCGTTTATTTTGGCTCCCCGGTGAGTTTTTGCCATGTAAAGGTACGGTGGGAAAGCGGAAGCTTTAAATTTCTTTTTCATCAAAATTGTATATATCTAAGGATCACAATGAGCCGTTAAAAACAGACAGATAATGGATCATAATGCGAAGTTTTGGAGAATAATCGAGCAGGTGGGCTGTTGGAGTCACAAAAATTAATCGTCAGTAAGGGTCAAGTCAATATACAATGGAAGCTCTCTTAACGGACACTCTCGTCAGCGGACAGCTCTACTGACGACTGCTTTCACAAGACCTCGTTTGAGCTCCCATGCAAAACCAGTATTTTGTCATTCCCGTAAGCGGACATTCTCGTAAGTGCCCGCGGACACTTGGAGGGCTTACGATCTAGTAGACTTTTTCTTTTGTTTTTAAGCTCCCATAAACGGACACTTTAAGGAATTGGGCCTCACTTTGAAAGATACTTATAAACATTCATTTGCTTTTTGTTGCAGCGAGACTGTTAATGCTAACGTTACTGCTGGTTGCAATTATGATTTGTTCTTTAATCGAGCCCATCCTAGTACTGCAATATATCATGAGTACTGTATACATGTAGTTATCGCCATGATCACGACATTGCGCAAGTAATAATAATAAAATAAAATAAAACAAAAATAAATAAATAAATAATTTGGTGGTAGTTTTGCATTCCCAATGTTTATTGTAAGCTGGGCAAGCTCGCGTAGGAGGCCATCTTTCCCTTAAAACTCTAGTGGCCGCTTACGAGAACTATTCTCGTAAGAACCCAGCTCCAGTTACGGACAGCTTTTTTCGCGTCCCAAGGGTGTCTGCTTAATACAAGAACTCCCACTGTATTCGTAAAAATACTGGAAGTGAAAATGCGCTCCTGTTATGCTTGCATTACACTTGTTTGGTTTAGCAGAATATTTCTTCGCCCTCCAAAACAAGTGACACAAGGAACACAAGGCAGCCAAAGACAAATGGCCTTGATACCTAATTCCTTGATATCTGATCCATTCTCGTCCCCAGTGCAACACATCTTTTGCGCCCTCTGCGCATGGCAACTCCTTCCCGCCAATTTGTGGCGCCATATTGAAAATTGGTTTCCCCGGCGGAAGAACGACAGAAAACATGCCCGTCCACTTCAGAGCCGTGGACAATGCCGTCGAGACAGTCAAGAAAGTGAAAGAATACGTGAACAATGGCTTTGGCGTAACTTTAGATGTAGCTTTAGATTTAGAAGAAGTTTGCAAGGAAAGCGAGCGAGTGAAGGAGTTGGAAGATACCATGCTTCAGTATGTTGAAATGGAACGAGAAATGGACCATTGGGTTAAAGCTGCTGAACTTGCCAAGGCAGAATTTAATCGACAATACGATGCGTCAAGGTGAGTCTTCGATGTAAGGAATTAATTTTCTAGAGTGCTAATAATAAATCAAGCTACCTGAAGTACAGGATTTAAATTGGCGTTCGATTTTTACCGGTCGCCGTGAAACGCAGACCGCGGACTGCAAACTGCAGACTGCGGACCAGGGATAAAATGAAGGGTGCGTTCCTTTGGGGTAATCTGGATCAGGATCAGTGATCCAAGATCTGTCTGGATCATGGTGCATCAAAGAAACTGATGAATCCATGACCAGAAGAGATTCATCGCTTCTTTTGATACACCATGATCCAGACAGATCTTGGATCACTGATCCTGATCCAGGTCACCTCAAAGGAATGCAGCCAAAGACCTCGGGTCAAATGGAGACTTTTTAAGTATATATTGTGTTATTTCCATTATCGAGTGCTAATCGTAATGCAATTATCATTGGCTTCCTGGGGTTTGATTTCCTGGACATCCCTGGGATTTGTATTCAATTCAATATCAAGCAAAAACCTACTAAATCCCTGAGGTATAGGGCATGAAATCTACAGCAATTTCCTCTTCCCCAGAGACTGAGCTGCAGACAGAATGTCTTCGTTTACAATGATAATAGACAAATTATGAATTATTTTGCTCTCTTGATCTTTGAAACTGTTGGCAATTACAGTCATTCTTTTTCCTCATACCATATCCCTTTGTACACGGCATGATGAAAAACAAACATGCAACAAACACTGAAGATCTGACCTCCCCAAAATGGTGGTAAGGTCACACATCTACATGTTCATTCGGGATTTTGAAAGTGACATAATGCTGGCCATTGTCAAACAAATCCCATAAGTACATCCAGAGTGTCCGGCATGTTCATTTCAAGAACCAGCAATGTCCCAACTCTACAAGACATTTTTTTCAAAACTGCACCATTCCCTGCATGTTCCCAGGGTTTCCTCAAGGGTGTCCCGGAGGTTGACCCATGTTAGGACCCGTGTTTTACACTCAGTCTGCAGTCTGCAGTCCAATGTCTGCATTTTACACTGACCAGATTTTTGCAGGATTTTTATCAGCATTCCCCTCAGACCCAAGCCCCCAGATAGAAATATCAAGAGAACAATCAACAAATGGAAATTGTTTGGATGTGTCAACGAACTCTCACAACTGGTACTCAGGAAGTATTTATGGAATCAGTAAATGAATTTTTATTTTGATCTTAAGGCTTACAGAAATCTTTGTTTTCCTAGTGATAATATCCCTAAAATTGAGGAGATCTTTCAGAGGAAGTTAACAGAAGTAAGTGGAAAGGATTATGAGTTGAATTCCCACCCAAAGGTGAAAGAATTCAGAGAAAAGGTGTGGAATATCCATCATCAAGGACAGCCAATGCCAACTGCTGAGACACAACAAGGGCTGGAGGATGAAGATATTATAATGTCTCAGGTAAGAAACAGTGCAATGTGCAGTTCCAGAAAATATCCATACTCCCCCCCCCNGGGGGGGGGGGGGGGGGGGGGGGGGATCTTCGAAAAAAATCTCTCTCATGGGGAAGATATGGATATTTTCTGGAACTGCACATTTTAAAGCCGTGGCACAGTTTGAGCACTTTGACTCAAGTCCTTCAATTGCTGAGTTACCTTGTAACTAGCCTGTTCCAATTCCAACCTCTTGATCAGTGCAACGATTGCAACATACTGGCAGGTGAAAGAAAAGCCAGTGGGTCCAGTTTTGTTGAGTGTTTTTGTTTGTTTTTCTCAACTCCGTCTCGGTCGATAAAGTCGCAAAAAAAGAACTTGGCCAATGTCCAGCGATCTTGACCTCACACTTGGTCAATAACCCACATATCTTGCAATAAAAGTGACATGGTAACGTAATTATTTACATGTTTGTCACTGCATGGAGCTGTCGCAGTTCAATTTCTCGCAAGGGTCAATGTTTGGTCTTCTTAAATGAGACACTACTTTCGCAGACATATACCACTTTCTACTTAGGATTACCAGGGATGTAGCTAAGAAGAATGGGATTATTTGTACTAAATTTATCCGTAGGCGAAGTCGATTGAAACCCTCGATTGACATCTTAATGGGTACTCCTTCAACATCCTGATTGATACTTTTGACACTCTCTTGACACTTGATCAACAGTCAGTTGATAGGTGGCTGACTATCGATCAACTGTCAATCAACTGTTGACCAAGATGTGGATGGACTGTCAACCGAAGTGTCAATGGAGTGTCAATCAAGTATCGTCCCTCGACCACAAATGCCTTAAGTACACATAATCCGAAAAATGCACTCTTTTTCCGCACCCGATTTTCATTGTGAATTTTGTCTTGCCATTTTGTCACAGGTACCAGCAGAACAAACCAAATGCCCACTGACTCTGAGGGAGATGATCAAACCCATGAAGAGTAAAATCTGCGGTCATAATTACGATCATGATGCCATTATGCAACACATCAGCCGAGGACGAGGACGAGCTAAGTGCCCAGTTTGCGGGCAGCTACTTACCAAAACCGATCTTGAGCACAACACAGTGTTGGAGCATTCCATTAAGAGAAAAAACAGAAGAAAATAAAAAGTGTAATGTCAGCAATTGATTAATTTAGACAAGTACAAACATGTTTGCGTTATATTTTGAAATAACTGTTCAGATAATAGAAAAGTATCGAAAATTTAAAATTTATATAGTTTAAAGTGCTTTTTGGTCCAAGAAGAGATTGTTCTGGTTGTAATAAATTTATATATTTTTTATAGTAGTATTGCTTATATTATGACTCTTTGTATTGAAATTGCTTTTCAAGGGTTTCATTGGAAGCCAGCAACTGGCGAAAATCACCGCCTACTTTGTCAGAATTTACCTCTTACTGCCGCCTACTTTGTCTGTATTTTCACTCAAATTATTAAAAAAATTCATCAGTTTGCTGCCTCCAGACGGCTAATTCAAAACTTATTGAAAACCCTGGCTTTTTCGCTGGTGGCAGGACTTTCCCTTCCAAAAGGTATCAGAGGCTGTTTTAAAGGGGTGTGTTTACCCCTTGCACCAAAGTATTTAGCTCTTATTAACTGAGAAGGAGTTCTGTATGGGATAATGTTGACAAAGGTTGTGAGTACAGACCAAACACAGTGAGGCCTGTACACACGACCAAGGTCAAGATTCTCCCATATAGAACAGCTAAGCTTGGTTAATAAGATGTTATTATATGGCAAACAAGAAAAGTTTAATTTGCTTAATGTACCGGTAACTGGGGTTGTTCAAGATGACATTTTGCTTGTGAACTCTGCCAAAGTTTGCTTGTCCTCTTTGCCTTATTTTTCTTATCGGGCTTTTTGGCACTTCCATAATATGAATATTTTCTGGAATTGATATTTTTAGAAGAAAATAGTCAATATTTTATAATGATAAGCGATACAAGTACACAGGTCACCCTGTTCCAATCAGTGGTAAGTTTGGTAAAAAGTTATACCCTACCCCCCCCCCCCC